ATTTGTGCCAGGGGGCACCTGGGTGGTTCAGTCGGTTGAGCATCTGACTCCTGGTTTCAGCTCAGGTCATGATCTCAGGGTTGTGGGATCGAGCCCCATGTCGGACTCCTCACTCAGTGTGGAGTCTGCTTCAGATTCTTTCTCCCTCCCCCTCTGTCCCTCCCTGATCTCTCTCTCTCTCCCCACCCCTCAAATAAATAAAATCTCTAAAAAACATTTGTGCCAGGCATATTATTGCTTTGAGAATGCAGAGATGAGAAACAAAACAACTGCCTTCTCTCATAAGGCTCAGAGTCTAGTGGGGACTCAAGGACACATGGACAAATAATTACGACACTGAATTATTTAAATGGGCAGAACTGGAAAAATTTTTATAGCAATGTTTACAGTTCACTTGTAGTAAAATGACTGAAAAACAAACTTAAGAGGCTTTAAAAGCCTTAGCTGTGTGAACAGTGTAGTTCATACCTAGACTAGGTTTCTGTGAATCTGACACAGAGAGTTAATGTAATTCAGATGAAAGTTCCCCTCTTTTCCTTATCATAAATAAACTTGGCATTAGTTTATTGGGTGATTGAAGTCAAAGCAGTCAGACTATTTTGCCAAAATGATCAGGATGAGTAGTTCAATTATTCACTTCACTTGCCTGTGAAGACTTCAGAGTGCTGTGATCTAATGAATGAAATGAATGTCAACTTGGAAGATTTGTGTTAAAATATGTTAAGACATATATATATTTTAAAGATTTTATCCATTTAGGGGCACTTAGTTATATTCAATATTAACCTATTTTTGGGGTGCCTGGGTGGCTCAGTCGGTTAAGTGGCTGCCTTCGGCTCAGGTCACGATCCAAGGGTCCTGGTATAGAGCCCGGTTCTCCCTCTCCCTCTGCCCTTCCTCCCTGCGCGTGCCCTCTCTCTTTCAAATAAATAAAAGATTTAGAGAGAGGGCACACGCAGGGAGGAGGGGCAGGAGAGTGGGGAGCCCAATGTGGGGCTCGATCCCAGGACCCTGGGATCACGACCTGAGCCGAAGGCAGCCGCCTAACCGACTGAGCCACCCAGGCGCCCCCAAAATATGTTAATATTGAATATAACTTTAAAACCAACATTTTTGGAAAAAGTGTTTTCCATTTACAGGCATACCTCATTTTATTGTGCTTTGCACATACTGCATTTTTTACAAATTGAAGGCTTGTGGAAACCCGGTGTCAAGCAAACAGCATCTTCTCACTTTGTGTCTGGGTCACATCTTGGCAATTCTCAACAGTATTTCAAACTTTTTCATCATTATTATATTTGTTATGGTGATCTGTCATCAATGACTAAGACTCGCTGAAAGCTCAGATGGTTAGCATTTTTTCTTTTCGCAATATTTTTAAATTAAGGAACATACATTATGTTTTAGACTTATTACTGCACACTTAATAGACTACAGTATAGTGTAAACAAAACTTTTATATGCACTGGGAAACCAAGAAATCCATTTGACTTGCTTTATTGTGGTGGTCTGGAACTGAACCCAGAATATCTCCAAGGCATGCCTGTATAGACATACGCCGCTCTCCCACTGGTTGGCTGGGAAAATACTTTTTCTTGTTCCTTTAGTTATGCGATGCCCCCAACCTACTGCATGGCTTTGGATTAGAAAAAAAGGTTAAAAAAAAGAAAACAGTAAAGGATTAAAAATCCACATAAACATAGCTTCAGTCCCCTTTCTGTCAAGTAGAAAATAGACAATTTTGGTTTGCTGAGACCATGGCTTTGAACTGGGGAGGAAGTCAGACTAAAGACACTGATTTGCCTTAAGATGTATTGGTCTTCCTGGACTTGCTGACCTGAGTACACAACTGTGAAAATGTCTGAAAACCAAGGAAATGGGATTGGGATCACGGTATTGTAGGAAGTGAGAGCATGGACAGACATGCATATTCACCAAATATTTCTGGTTCACCTACCTTCCTGCGAGGCATTTGATAGGATAGCATCTCTTTGTTGTGGGATCATGTGACTGTTTCTGGCCAATGGGGTGTGAGCACACAAGTGGCAAGTCTGGGGTATTTGACCAGAGATACTCCCTACTTCTCTCTCCTTATAATAATCAGCAACACATGAAATATGGTTTCTTCAACAGCCTGAATCTACTGACTACTGTGAACATAGCGCTATGCTGAACCACAGTGGATGCGTATCATTTGTTTTTAGCAGAGGATTGGAAACCTTCTTCCATAAAGTATGAGTATTTTGGGTTTTGTACACCATACTGTCTGTCACAACTACTCAACTCTGCTCTGCTGTGGCATGAAAGCAGCCATAGGAAAGATATACATGAATGGATGTGGCTGCACCCGCAAAAAAGCTTTACAAAAACAAACACTTGGCCCTGGGACTATAGTGTGTAGACCCCTGTTTTGTCACAGACCTTTTAGGATTGTTACTGCAGCATAACCTAGCCTATTTTGAACATCTTTTTTTTTTAAGATTTTATTTGAGAGAGAGAGACATAGCGAGAGCAGGAACACAAGCAGGGGGAGTGGGAGAGGGAGAAGCAGGCTTCCCGCAGAGCGGGGAGCCCGATGTGGGACTCTATCCCAGGACCCTGGGATCATGACCTGAGCTGAAGGCAGACGCTTAACGACTGAGCCACCCAGGCGCCCCAAACCTAGCCTATTTTGATATACTGGGGCTGTGAGATGGCCCCCCAAGTGAGAATCTTTGTCACCTGTGTTGTCATCTTTCCTGCTCCCTCTCAACAATCTTTCCCTTTTCCTTGAAGAAAAGCCTAACTGAGCTGTGGGTCTGTATGCTTCTATAACTGTTACTGTATGCTGTGCTCATGAGAGGCACAAGAGGCCTCTCTTTCTCACAAGCCCTCTTTAGCTCAAACCTGAATCCTTCATTAGAGGTCTCCAAATCATTGGTTTCCATACTTTAGAATCCAGGAGGGGGTGTTAAAAACAGAGTGCTGGGCTCCACCTCTGGAGTTTGTCGATCTGGGGAGAATTTATCTAGCAGAATATTTCATGTCTGATCTTAAAGACATTGGTCAAATTCTAAGGCATAAAGCAGTGATTTTTTTTTTTTTTCAAACTTCAATGTGCATGCAAAGCAGCTGAGGATCTTGTTAAAAGGCAGATTAATACAGTAGGTCCAGGGTAGGGCCTGAGGTTTTGATAGTGATGGTGGTCAGGCTGAGCATACTAAGAGAGATGCAAGGGGTTAAAGGATTCTAATCTTCCTTTCTAGCCTCTAAGTGTAGCACAGTACCGGGGCTTCAGTCTTGAATAACCTTAGGTCAATTTTAACTTCTCTCACACCTTACAATTTGTTAGCAAATCTTGTTGGTTCTATATGCAAAGCATCCAGCCACCTGTCACCACCTTCACTGTAACACACTGATCTTGGCCACCACCATCTCTGGGCCATATTATTTCAACAGCCTCCTTATTGGGCTCCCAGCTTCTCCTCTTGCCCCACTCTCCCTCCTACCTCTCATCCACACACATGGTAAAGTCTTTACCCAGGGTGATCACGTCACTTCCCTGCTTAAAATTAAAACTATGTATGCGGTGACTCCCCATTTCACTCAGCAAAGGCCAAAGTCCTTGTGATGGCCTGGCAGGCTTCAAAACACTGGACCTCTTTTTTGTCTTTGACCTCATCTCCTACTCTCTGCTTCAGCCACTGGGGCCTGCTTGCTGTTCTTGAACCCACCGAGCACACTCCCATCTCAGATCCTGAAACTTGGGTGTTCCCTCTACCTGGAAATCTCTTCCTCCAAGATAAGTGCTTGGCCTCACGCCCTTCAGTTTTGCCTCAAAGTGCCAGTAAGGCTTGTCCTGACCACCTTGTTTGGTTTTTTCTTCTGTACCATTTCACTGACATTTACTTTTCTTTTCCACACTTAAAATGAAATTCCACGAAGATATTTTTGTTTTGTTCACAATCTCTAGCGTTAAAGAGTTCCTAACACATATTAAGGTGCTCAATAAATATGTGAACGAATATATAACATACTTCGCAGCTAACTGGAATATCTTGAGGCTGGAGTCCGCTCTCGTTTCCCTAGACTCCCTCAGGATACACTGTTGCCAGCCAGTGTTACTCATTTTATTCCCTAGGGAATAGTGGGGTTTGGTAGATTCCTCTTCAAAATCCTTTTTCAGAAAATTTAAATTATAAATTGGTCATTTACTGTTGTCATACATTATGCGGCTGAAATCTCTCACTGATTATGTTCCTTTAATACATTTTCTTGCAGCACTTGGCTTATTTTCCGTTCACTGTCCACACCCACCCCGCCCCTAGTTTAATTACAGGACTGGAATAATTCTCTTGGAGCAAAAGAGTATTTTTGTTTTATATTCATTCAACATTCTCTTAAGAGTATTAGGTAAATTCGAAACAAAAAGAAAACAAAGTCTAATTTGTAATACTCGGGCTTATTGGGTAAGTGTCATCTTAAGATAGAAGACTATTTTTAACCCGAGTCCAGAGTTACAAGACTTTTAATAAGCCACCCATCTTGCTCATTTCCAACGCGTCCTACAGAGGACGCCTAGGTTACCTACCGGGTGATTGTTTTGTGGGGAAAGCGGTGAACTGTCGTTTTTCAAAAGACCTTTTGGGGTGTGTGAGTTTGCCTGCTCTGCATACAGAAGGAATTCTAGAAGCTGGGATTGCACCACCCACCCCACGCACCCTTTACTTGCAGAAACCTTTGGCCCCCCCCCCGCAACCCCCCCCATTAGGGCTCTTAACAGGGCAGACGCCAGCTCCGATCCAGCTGCTTGACACCTATTGTCCCCGTTTGGATGTCAAGCGACTTCGCCTGAAGGACCCTAGCCTCGATTTCACTCCAAACTCTACGCGCCGCTCTTGCAAACCCCCCGGGGCCGTCCGGACCTGCCCAGAGCAGCCGCCCCCCAAGGACTGGAGCTAGGGCAGCGCGGTAAGAGGCCAGGTGGGCCTTTCCCCGCAGGCGTTCGCGCCGGGCAGCCCGAGCGGCCGCGAAGGCCCCCTCCCCGCAGCTTCTCCCGCCCCCTCCGCCCTAGAGGGCCGGCTGGCTAAGTCCCTCCCGCTCTCGGCTCTCCGCCTCACTAGCAGCGGCTCTCGGTGCAGCGGGGATAGGGCGAAGCGGCCTGCGCCCACGGAGCGCACGACACTGCCCGGAACGCACAGCCACCCTTGCCCCCTCAGCCGCCCACTCGGGATCTCCAGCGGCCTCCGCGCGCGCACGGTGAGCGCCACCCGGACCGAGGCGCTGACGGGGAAGAGGGCCACTGCCCCGAGTGTCCTTTACCTCCGGATCGGCTGGACCTTCTCGAGGGGCTTGCTCCTCAAGTCTCCCCTCCCCCCCAACCCCCTCCCCCGGTCATTACCAGTGCCCTTCTCCGCCTCTTAGCCCCGACCCCTCTCCTCCCTCCCTTCCTCGCCAGGCGACGAGTGCCGGCCCACCCCGGCGGGGACCGTTGCACTGGCCGTTGGCGGCCGGCGCTGCGAGGCCCCGCCCCCGGCGTGAGCCTCGGTATCCCGGGGCGGGTAGGCC